TGAGGTGTGAGGTGTGAGCTGTGAGGTGTGAGCTGTGAGGTGTGAGCTGTGAGCTGTGAGGTGTGAGGTGTGAGCTGTGAGGTGTGAGCTGTGAGGTGTGAGGTGTGAGCTGTGAGCTGTGAGGTGTGGGCTGTGAGGTGTGAGCTGTGAGGTGTGAGGTGTGAGCTGTGAGATGTGAGCTGTGAGGTGTGAGCTGTGAGCTGTAAGGTGTGAGGTGTGGGCTGTGAGGTGTGAGCTGTGAGCTGTAAGGTGTGAGGTGTGAGCTGTGAGCTGTAAGGTGTGAGGTGTGAGCTGTGAGGTGTGAGGTGTGAGGTGTGAGGTGTGAGGTGTGGTCTGTGAGTTGTGAGCTGTGAGCTGTGAGCTGTGGGCTGTGAGGTGGCCGCAGGGTCTCCCCACCCAGAAGGCAGAACTCCAGCGCAATTAGTGCGCCTCCCCTGGGATGATCACTACTTAGAGAACAACTTGTTAATTAACTCCTCAAACATCCTTTAAACATAGCTGAGGCAGCGCCTGGCTTCAGAGGGCAGGACAGTCTCCCGGGCAAGCTTGAAGTCCCTCAGAGAGGCCCTAGGAGGTCCACAGATGCCCTGTGTGGATGGGGAGATTCTCATGGTGCAAATGCCTCCAACCTTGATTCTTCGTGTGATCCGGCGGCTCTTTAGGCTTTTGATGGTAACGGGAGTTATTTACAAGAGTTCCGCAGCGCAGCCCACAGTATGAGCCCTGAGGTCCTGGGCGTTCAGGACGCAACAAAGACCATTTGTGAGCGCGTGGCAGGGGCAGCTCCGGGGTGGCTGACGCTCGCCTTCCTGGGCACTGTGGTCAGCCCTGCAGGCCATGGGCAGCATGTCCCAGCCAAGGCTCAACAGCTAGATTCAACTTCTATAGGGAGGACCAAGTGACGAGATGGACCAGGAACTTCCCACCCAGGATACGTTGATCCCAGATAACTCCAAGGGGCTGAGACTCTGAGGACTGGCCTCGTCCCAGCTGGGGGAAGGGCCTCCTGCACATCTGAACCTGTTCTCAGACCCCGTTCTGCTGATCCCATGGTCTGGCCGTCAGAAGCTCTTCCCGGGAGTCCTGGCAACATTTACACAGATTGTTCCTTGTTCCATGACAGTCAGTGATGTCTCACTGTGGAGCCTGGACTCATCTGCATTCAGTGGCCTGTCTCAGAGGTGACGCTGTGCCTCGCAGTGGGACTGTGGCCAGGGAACCAGAGGGAGGTGGTAGCAGTGCCCCAGGGCAGCCATGGCACCCTCCTGAGGCTGCTGCCCACCCACCCCAGAGCTGCCACGACTCACAGGGTGCCACTCACAGAGAGTCACACCGCGTTCCCCCACAGCTCCTTCTGGGTCTTAGAAAGTGAGGCACCATGGTCCTGATCAGAAAGGCGCTCCTGGCACTGATGAAGGGCCTGCTTCGTCTACTCTGTGTTACAATGAAACTCAGCACATCTTGGGGAAACGCTGGCACGAGGCTCTCCAGCCTGGAGTCTGTCTGGTTCCGGGGAGTGGCTGTTTAGTTGTTGCCAGGCATCTTTGCGAAGAGCTGAACACAGCCTGGGGTTGTCTGGTTTTAGGAAACCATGGAGTGAGCTCCCACAGCTCTTGATAAAGGCCCGCTCCCAGGCTGCGTGGAGTGCCCTGAACGGCACAGGATTCAGGCGCACTCGGCAGAGGGTGGCGTGCCATGGGCGTGGTGCCGTGAAGAGCGTGGGCTCTGCGTTCGGGATGCGTGCAGGCTGCCCACGGCCACAGATGGATGGACAGCCCCGCCACGGAGCGACAACCTGCACATGGCTGTGCGGCTGAGGCCGGGAGAGGGAAGGACAGGTGGGTGAAAGGCCCTTCCTATGGGGAAGCCTGAGGCAGGCAGGGGGAACGAGGCCACGGTGGGGGCTGTGGGCGTGCCCTAGGGGGACGCTTGGGGACAGCCTCAGAGGGGGCACTGGGAGAAGCTGAGCGCTGGTGGGTGGGCGCCCTTAGGAAGCAATGGCCGTGCAAAGGGGGGCCCTGTGTTTGGAGCCCATGGGCCCTGCTGCTCCACGGCAAATAACCAGGGGGCCTGCACCTTTGAGCTTCGGCACGGTGGGCAGGAAGCTGAGGGGCTGCGGGGTTCAGCGACTTGCGGCCTGTGCCACGTGTTGTGTGTGACCTGGTGAGGGTGGGAGGAGACGAGGTTGTCCATCTGTGCACGGGGACGCACAGTGCCTGGGAGAGCTCGGAGCAGGGAGGTCAGGGGACCACAGATGCGTCCACCCGGCCTGGAGTGGGAACTGTCCGGAACAGGGACAGCCACAGATCACTGGGGGGACCAGGAGAGCGCCCACTATGCGGGTCAGCCAGAAGATCACAGCGGCCACAGGGCTCTGCCCATGCCCGCCACTGCTCATCCCAGCGCTCCAGAGCACAAGCCGCTAGAGTGTGCGGCTCTCAGACACACGGTTACAACTGCCAACCAACAGAGCTCACTTTGCAATTTTGAACATTATTATGGATATATTGGCAAACCCACATTACCCTTTCCTTGAAAATTGTTATTTAAAAACATATTTATGTCATCGAGCTTGGCAGGGAGAAAGGTGGGGGGGATGGGCAGGGGAACCCTCATAAATGGAGTTCAGTCATTTTCAATGGTCAAGTGGCCCCAGCTCAACACTGGAAGAGACAGGGAAAGGGGCTTGGTGCTGAGCGCACGGCTCCCTCCTCAGCATTTCAAAATGTTTCACTTTTTAAAAATAAAAAATTAGGGTTTATCTATATTTTAAAAAAAATAGACAAATCATTCTTAAACTCTAAATCCTTAAAGTTCCTGTAGAATTTAGTCATCATAATAAAACACCGTCGCCATATATAATTTAATAAACCAAGAGAAAAAGGAATTTTACCTTCAGCAGATTTCACAATGACACTCATTCTTCTTCTTACTGAGTCAAAACTCAAAATTTCCAGCAATTCAAACCTGAAAGAGAAATGAAGGTCACACGGTCCTCGTGGGTCCTCATGCGATTCCGTCTGGCAACTGTGGAGCTTCCTCGGCAGAATGACGGGGGCAGGCCAGTCTCTTCCTCAGGGGACACACTGAGGGCCGCTGGATGAGGAGTGGCCTCACACAGACACCCTGGAGAGGCCTGGATTTGAAGGACGTGGCAGGTGCCACCGGCAGGACAAGTCTGGGCCCCGTGGCACCTGCAGTACTGGCTCCTCACCACGTCCCCACCCAATCCAGGCCGAGGGCTCAGATTCTGCCACACAGGCTGTGTTTCCTATGCACCAACTCCATCCCTAAATGCTGCTGAACAGAGACTCAAAATTGTGTCAGAGCTTGGATCTCTGCCAATGAGCCAGGGTTGTCCTAAGAGATAAAAACCACAGAAAAAGCAAAGGACACTGATGCTCTGAGTATTGTTGTCCTGCTATTGGAAGACTCCTAAAATCTGTGCAGCGTCTAGGGTATCAGAAGTGCTCAGCAGCCCCCGCTGCTGCCCTCAGCTGCCCCTCAGCCTCCTCAGGGTCGCGGACTCAGTGGGAAGCCGCGGTGCCAGCGTAGTTCGGAGCCGGGGGTCCCTTGGCAGAGCCCTGACTGGGGCTCTCGTCTTGTCCACGACCTCACCGCCTCCACGGCTGCAAATCCAGAGCCTCAACAGCAGTGAGTTGTGGCCCCCAGGTCACCCCAGCCCCCAGGAAGCCTAGGGCACTGTGAGGAGGGCGCAGTTGGTGCCAGCAGAGGGCCCAGGAGCCGCCGCAGAATCAAGGGGTTTGTCCTTTCCCTTCCACTGGGAGTTAACTTTCCCTAAGGATGGAATTTTAAAATCCGGGCGTCCTGAGGCTGGCGCCACAGATCCTGCGTCCTTGCTGGAACTGTGACTGCACATTCGTGCTTACTGATAAAGGAGGCACTACCACCCACTCTCCGGAGTCAGATCTCAAGATGGGTCACTTGTCTCGGGTATAAGCAATCTGAGACAGGGACCGTCCCTAAAAATGGGAAGCATTTTAAAGACATGAAAAGTGAAACAATCCAACATCAAACGGGCCATGGAAAAGCATAATTGTGCAAACTGTGTTCAACAGGAGGCCGTGCTCCCAGCACGAGAGCGAGCGTTCCTCCCCTGGGACTCAGGGCCAGCCCGGGGCGGCTGCCACTCCCTTCCCTCGTGGAGGCACAGGGGCCGGGGGAGGTCAGAACACACTAGACACCCGAAACGTCCTGCGTAACACCTGACTTCAGGTTTAACCCAAAACACATTTACCGGCGAACTTCTCTTCACTCAACTCCAGTTTACATCTCCAGGGAAAACCACCCAGGGGAAGCGGACCTGTGGCTGCACCCCAGCCCTTCTCCAGAACATTCTGCGCTGTCACTGGGAAGGAGAGGGAGCGAACTGTGGGAGAACACAGAGAATCTGTCTTTCCCCCGAAATGCCGAACCATGCAATGAGCCTTCTTCACTGCGGTGACCCTTTACACCCGAGGGCGGGTGCACATACCTTTCCACGCCGTTGTCCCTGTTCAGTATCTCCATGTAATTGTCCTTTAGCCTCAGGTATGTAAAGCCAAGTCTGCAATGAGAGGGCAGGGCTCGGGGTGAATCTGAGAGTCTGACGTTCCTCTCACAGAGGATCTGCTTTACATTCTGGCAAAGCGTTCTTTTCAAAAAAGAAATACTTTGTTAAACAGATCATAAACTGCATTATAAAGTTTGGATATGATCACAATGAACTTATTCGCCATCTTGAAAAATCTTCCAGGAGTCACAGCATTTCTCCCTGACCCAGTCCTCCCCAGCACACCACGATGAGGCACATTTCTGTTGGTATTAACCGTTCTTCAGGAGAGAGTGGTGGCTGCCATCCTTGCTCATTGATTCGTGGCTTTGTTGTTGTGGTTGGGCAGGAAACACAAGGTCAGAGGGAGCAGGTCCCTGAGAGGCTGCTACCCCTAGACCAAGCCCCTTGAGTCACCGATGGGGAACCAAGGCCCAGCGCAGGCCTTCAGCCAGCACGTGGGTGTACTGTGTGCCTGTGCCCAGGGGTCAGCACCTTCAGGGCCTTGTGGGAGCCGCTGGGACAGCAGAGACAAAGAGCATGGCTCCGGGAAGTGGCAGCCAGCAGAGACCGGGGAGACAGGCGTGCTTCCCAGCGCAGCTGCAGCCGTAAGGTAAGTGGCACCTGGGGAACGGCAGTGGAGGCCTCTGGCCAGCTCAGGTGGCAGCAGCAGCTGGAGGAAAAGCTTCTGGGCAGGGAGGAGTCTCAAAGGTGTGGGAGGGCGTGGGCAGCTGCCCTGAATTCTGACACCTGGGGGAAGTGGGGGGTTGGGGGGAGGCAGCTGCCCTGACTTCTGACACCTGGGATGAATGTGGTGGCATTCCCGGGCTCTTGTTTTCCCAGAAGAGAGAACCCCAGCTCCAAGAAGCCTCCCCTACACCTGTGTGGGTTCACACACGGAACGAAGTGCCCCAGTGACACTGTTTACGTGTCTGTGCTGCTATTCACATTGCATGAGGAAACACATTCATGAGCTCAGCAGCGACGAATACGGGGCTGTGGGCTGTGACGGATGAGAAGCGCAAACATGTTACTCTCGCCACGCTTGGTCCCGAAGGCAGTGACAAAGTGTCCCTTCGTCACTTTTGGGGAGGGGAGGTTGAGTGTTATGGAAGCCGTGAGCTGGGCAGATTTGAAAAGGGCTTTCCTGACTTGCAATCAGACCACGTATCTGGAACATTTAAAGTATGTTTCCAAGTGTTTGCTTAAAGGGTGGGTGGTGAGAGGCCCCACACCTGCCCTGCTCAGCTCCCGCCGGGCTGGCTCTGGGAAGGCCGCTGGCCATCCGGGCTTCAGTTTTCTGAGATGCAGGAGGGAGATTTGTGTTAAAGGAAGAAGGATTGTTTCCCTATTTCGAAGCCTGTGGTTATCTGGAATGACCTCTAACTTATTGCAGACCTCAGGAGGAAAAGCCACCCATGAAAGACAGATGAAGACTCACACGCCAGGGACCAGACATTGCTTATCACAGTGGGAGGGGCTCATACAGGGATGGGGACCCAGAGAACCTGGGTGCAAAGGCAGCAGAGCTTGGCACTCGGAGGGCACGGGGCGGGGCTGAGGACGCCTCCGGGTACAAGTCCCTGAGTGGGGCTGTCGCAGGGCTGAGTCACATCAGGAAACCCAGGCAGGCCCTTGGCCGGCGACCCACCTCTGGACACCTTCGACCAGCGCCACCTCGTCGGGTGAGGATGAGATGTACACGCAGGACTTCCCCCCGTCTGGCGACTTTCTGGGGCCATCCACGTTGTCATCGTCTTTCACCTGGACCGTGTGGCAGAGACAGAGGGCCCGGAAAAACAGCTCCTCGCGCTCCTGTGAAAAAGCAGTTCCCAGAACCCCCAAATCACAGTGCATCCACTGAAGATGGAAGGAAACAGGCTCAGACAGAAAGCCCAAGGGAAGCCCGGAGCTGTGAGGGCAGCTTGCAGGAGGTGAGGGGTTTTCAGTGCAGCCGTGAAGGCAGCCATGAAATGGGAGTGTGTTACTCAGCAGTGATACTTTTAGAAACCACGGAGGCATGGCTTCCAGTGCACTCAGAAATGACACGCAACCACTAAGCATGCAGAAAGGGAGGCTGAGTCACACGGTGCAGCGAACACAGACGTTCACAAACACCCTGGACCCTGGCTATGCCTCCACCCCGGCGCCTGCGCAATGGCGGCCTTCTCCTAACCGAAGCGTGTTAGACCAGACGTGACCTATGGAGCGCCTGCTGTTAACTCACATTGTGACACCGACCCTAACACCCCCTACAAAGGGGGAGCTATTATCCTGCACCTGCAGCTGCAGAATCGAAGTTCAGGAAGGTAAAGTGAGGCACTCAAGGCCACAGCGGCTGGGACCGCATCCCCGAGGCTGCCCTGAGGACGGCTTTCTCCACCCTGGCTGCACACTGCATTCTTTGGGAGCTCCAAGACTCCAGATTCTCATGTGAAACCAAGGTTGGGAAGCACCATGGCAAAGCTCCGGGAAGGGCTCCATCACATTCCGTGTACCCAGCGGAGCGCCCGATGTGGGGGCCGGAGCCTCAGCACAGGCACAGACACGGCCACTCCCGCTGCCGTGAGCCTGTGATGAAGTGGTGGTTGCTCTTCTGCCACCGGCTGGGGCGCAGTGAGAGAGCATCAGCGCCCTCGGTGGGGAGCGGTGCAAATGCACAGCCCACTGAACACAGCTGCCCGGCTCCCCCACAGCGCTCTGCACCCCACAACAGGAAATTCAGGAATGGCGTCGGCCTGGGACTCCAGCCCTGCCCAGAGATGCTGAGATCTGGAGTGTGTGTGAGAGTGTGTGTGTGTCTGCGTGTGCGTGTGTGTGCAGGTGTGTCTGCGTGTGTACGTGGTGTCTGCGTGCATGCGTGTTTGCCCCGCTTCTATAGTTTTCACGGCAGTTCTAACATGGGTATCACCAAGCACCCCAGTATCTAATGGGACACCACACAGGTCGCACCCTCTGACCTCCCTCCCACGGCAGTCCGCGGACAGGACTTGGACTTTCCTGGCCCCCGAGTGAAAGGGGGTGGGCTCAGGACGCACAGCTGCCCACCGACTCACTCCCAGAGGCGGACAGTGCAGGGGCTGCACTTACCCTCCCGCTGACACTGGGGGACGAGTCGATCATGTCAATCCCTGAGGCGTCTGGGAGGACCTGCCCGTTGCAGATGACGTGCGGCACGTAGACGTGGCCTTCGATGCAGCACTCCTTGAACTCCATGTTGTTCTCTGTGAGGGTGCCGGTCTTGTCTGTGAAGATGTACTCCACCTGCGGCCAGGGCACAGCAAGTCACGGCGCTTCGAGGGCGGCCCCAGCGCCTCTGACGCAGACACACAGCAGCCTTGTGTCCTCCCCAGCTCCCACTGTGAGTTTACTAGGCGGTGGATTTCTACAGGTTTTCCCCCAGACAGATGACCTCACAGAGCTGAGCTATGCTCCCGGCCATCCTCCTTCCCAGCGTCCAGCAGGACCCGGTAGTGCTGGCAGGTGCCATTCAGGAGGATGGGTGGGGAGGCCTTGGGGACACCTTCTCTGGGTAGGGAGCAAAACAGTGTCACAGTCACATTCCCAGGGACAGAGACACATTCCCAGGGTGGAGCCGGGGCTCCATTTGTTTGGGAAGACAGAGTGTGAGGGGGGTCGTCCCGAATCTTGTTTAACAACAGCAATGAAGAAAAGAGGCTACGGAGGGGATGAACTTTACAAAGTCTTGGAGGTCAAAGCCCACAATATCACGTAAGCTTCAGAAGGTAAAATTCAAACAAATAAGAAGAAGGCAAATCTCAGAGAAAACTGTGATATGTGTTAAAGGTACAACCCGCCTTAAACTCTGATTTTAGATAAGCTCACAGGTTACACGTTTATCGTGAATAACTGATGGTGGGAGCTCTGAACGCGAGGCAGCATCTAGAGACTGAGTTGGGGCACGCCCACTGGGACACGGCTTTCCCAAGCATTTTGGATAACGGATATTCAACCTGTGTACTCTTCTTACATAGGATTTTGATGTAACTTAGAATAAACTCTTTTTCAATCTTAAAATCTTGTTTATTTTTATTTTTCTTATTTATTGAGATGGAGTCTCACTCTGTCACCCAGGCTGGAGGAATGCAGTGGTGTGATCTCAGCTCACTGCAACCTTCGGCTCCTGGGTTCAAGTGATTCTCCTGCCTCAGCCTCCTGAGTAGCTAGAATTATAGGCACATGCTACCACACCCAGCTACATTTTGGATTTTTAGTAGAGACAGGGTTTTGCCCTGTTGGCCAGGCTGATCTTGAACTACTGATCTCAGGTGATCCGCCAGCCCGGACCTCCCAAAGTGTTGGGTTTACAGGCGTCAGCCACCACGCCTGTCTCAAAACGCATTTTTAAAAGGGTAAAATGGGTAAGAATGAAACAGCAAATGTTAAGAGGTTTGGTTTATCATCCTGTTTAGCTATAACTAAATAGGTGGCATCTTTCTAGGAACCACGACCATGAAAATAACAATAATAAAAATTAACGACAACAGACCTTTACTGAGCCCTCAGGGTGTGCCGGCCACTGGGCAGTGGCTCATTTAATCTTCAACTGTGCTGTTATCTCAGTTTTAAGAACATGGAAACAAAAGCTTAAAACCTCTGGACACAAATCCAGTCAGTCCTGTTACCTCAGCGAAAGGAGGTACGATTGTTTGCTTTGTTACTATTAAACAAGTTTGGGAAAGTCCTTGACTTCCTTTTCAAATAGTCTGTTGTCTGGAATATAGAATCCTTCCTGACTTTTGGGTGTTGATTTTGTATCCTGCAAATTTAATGAAATTCTTGATTAGTTCTAAAAGTTTTTTGGTGGAGTCTTTAGGCCTTTCTACATATAAGCATGTGTCATCAGCAAACAGCTTCACTTCTTCCTTCCCTATACGAATGCCTTTTCTTGCTTTTCCTTGCCTCATGATCTGGCTAGAGCTCCCAGCACTACGCTGAATAGAAGGGGTGAATGCGGGCAGCCTTGTCTTCCTTCTGATCTTAGAGGAAAGGCTTTCAGCGTTCCTCCATTGTGTGTGATGCCAGCTGCGGTCTGTCATTTACGGCTTGTATTGTGTTGAGGTACCCTCCTCTGTACCTAATTTGTTGAGAGACGTTATCAGGAAAGGATGCTGAAATTTGTCGAATGCCTTTTCTGCATCACAGATAATCGTACGGTCTGTCCTTCATCTTGCTGACATCATGCACCACACTTACTGATTTGTGTGTGTGGATGCAGCCACCCGGCATCCCAGAGGTGCGTATGATCCTTTTGTGTGCTACTGAATTGGTTTGCTAGTGTTTTGTTGGCGGTATTTTCGACTTTGCTCATCAGGGGTCCTGGCTTGCAGTGTTCTTTTCTGGTAGTGAGACAGCCAACCCTAAGCGCGGTGCTGGTCAATGCTGCATCACCCTCAGCTCTCGGAACAGAAGATGGCACCCACCGCAGTGCACGCCCGCCCACTCAACTCGGCCGGAGCAGAGTTTGTGTTCCCAGGCACTCGTGCTCAGGCGGCACTGCCTGCTCCTGACTCCGTTTCTTATCTGAGAAATGGGCAGTGGTACACAGGACACAGAGAAGGTGTGCACAGTGCGTGGCCCAGAGCGCCACGGGAGATGGTGGTTTTTTTTGTGGACACAGACACTTGAGTGGTGGGTGAATCTCCATCTCACATACAAAAGAAGTTATGTACATCGCACGGCACAGCGATGGGGGGCATGTGTGTTTGTCCGGATAGATGGGGGGCACAGGCGTTCACCCGCGTAGCTGCAGTCAGATGAACCTGCCTCTTGGGCCTGCCCACCTGTCCTCACCCCAGAGCATCGCCCGGGAGCCACAGTACACACTTCTCTGTGTCCGGGGAGGTCAACCTCCAGGCGAGAGCCTGGTTTTGGTCAGGACAGAATGGCAGAAATCAAATACTGTTTTGCTGGACTCCAGGGCGACGGATCGAGGAGGGCAGAGAAGAAATTGGCTGCACTCAATACTGCTGGGCATTTTCCTTGTTACAGGAAAACTTTCTTTCCCAATGAATTTATCAGGAGCACACAAAATGTACCATCTATTATTGCAAAGGAGATAGAAAGAATACTCTTAGCTAAAAACTCCCGACTACTGAGCAACTGAATTACAGTCTGCGCATTGCTGACAGACACAGTAAACCACCGTGAGGGGTCTGGAATACACCAGAGAAATACTGAGAAGTCAAACTCATCAAAAGCGAAGCACGCGCCTGCCGTGCGTCTGCCTTCCTCACAGGGGCAGACAGAGGCCTCTGTATCTCCCGTCTAGTGTATTTACAGACTGCTGTCTGCGAGTGAGATGCAGCTTTCAGCCACCTGTCTAAAGTGGCCTTGTTTGCTAAAACAGTCCTTCCTCAAAATTGTTTTCTATTTCTTCCAAAAAGACCAAAGAGTTACCCTTTACCGGTACCTGCTTTGCCAACCCTGCACTCTGCAACAGTAAGGCCGGGAAAGTAGGGAAGGTCCCCACTTTAGGCTGGGGAACCAAGGGAATGGGTCTTTCCTTAGTTCCCTTCCCAAGCCGGCAGGTCTGGTATGTGGCTCCTGGGGGTGTTGTGGCAGGGAGGCGGTGGTGGCACAGACTCTGGGCTGGGCACCTTGTGCCCATGATCTCACTGACTTCACACCACAGTCCTGCGGGGCCAGCATCTGTCATCTCACATCACAGACAGAAACTCGAGGTGTGGCGGTGAAGCCCGAGCTCCCGCAGCCATCGCGCAGCAGCGGGATTTGAATGAGGCACTTGAACCCTCTGCAATGCACCAAGTCACTGAAACTCTCTGAAGTATCGGTTTGCTCATCTTTAAAGTGAAAAAATACCTGGCTTGCTATGAGACCTCAATATCAGGTGCAGAAGGAGAGTGCAAGGCTGGCAAAGGCATTTCTACCCACCGCCTTGATTCACACCTTTGTCCAGAAGGTGTCCAGCCCAGGAAGCTCCGGGTGAGTTTCCAGGCACTAGCGAATACAGGTAATTCCACACCTGTCATAAATGTAACAGCATGGCCGACTGTTTCATAAATAAGGTTCAAAACAAGCCTGCTGCTGCGTTCCACCAGCTACAGGGACAGCCACGCTCGGAAGACAGGCACCGGACCTGAGGAACGAGAAACAGACTCACCCACGTGTTAGCAAATCCCAGCAGATGACTCGGGAGACACCAACCTGTCCCAGCTCTTCGTTGAGGTCTGACGTGTTCACCAGCGGCCCCTCGCCGGTCTCCTCATCAAACATGTCTTCGTCCCAGGTGATGAAGTAAGAGCCAAGGAATTTCTGCATCTCGACCGTGACGTACATGGACACGGGGATGATGTAGTTGAAGAGGACCATGAAGGCCAGGAAGTCTGTGAAGGCCTTGAGAAACTGCGAGAGCAGAAGGTGCGGGTCAGCGCCTCCACTGGGAAGGACAGCAGGGCTCCATCACGCTGCTCTGACACCGCAGGCTTAGCCATAAGTTATACACATGCTACTACTAAGTACAAGGTTTCAGAGTCCAAAGACGAGGATTATGGGCTGGTGGGGGGGCGCTGCCATGGGGTCACCTGGTCTCTGCGCCAGGACCTGCCAGGGCTGCCCTGCTGTGGGGGTGGAGATTAAGTCATGAGTTAAGACAAGCATGTGTGACAGGAGGCACACAGACCAGACGCCAGTGGCAATTTTGCTTCTGCATCTGTGGGACCTCTTTGTGACTCTTATAACCAAACTTACTTGTTAACAACCTACAGATGTAAAAACTAAGTCTGATGAAATGACTTTTCAGTATACTTTTATCCTGGTCTGTGAAGCCAACTTAGTTTTGTAGGAAGGATGGATGATGTGCAGAGATGGCCCTGATCCAGATGGAGGGGACGCGGGACTGGGTTTGCACATGACCCCGCTCTGGACAGAGGGGACACAGGTCAGGGTTTGCACACAGCCCTGCTCTAGGCTCAGTGGACACAGGTCTGGACTTGCATGTGGCCCTGCTCTAGGCTCAGTGGAAAGGGTCTGGGTTTGCACACGGCTCTGCTCTAGGCTCAGCGGAAAGGGTCTGGGTTTGCACACAGCCCTGCCCTAGGCTCAG